CTATCTATCTATCTATCTATCTATCTATCTATTATATCTACTCATCTGTTCTTAGACACTTTGTTATTTCCAAATCTTGACTACCATGACTAGTATTGCTACCAATGTAGGAGTGCAAATATCTTAGAAATAGTACTTTTGGGGTCTTTGGGAATAGATGCCAAGAAGTGGAATTGCTGGGTCATGTAAAGTTCAATTGTTAATTTTTCATTGAAAACGCTACAGTATTTCTGTAGAGATTGAAATAGATGACATTCCACCTAGCAGTGGATGTGGGCTCCTTTATTCCCCTGCCGACATCAGCTGTTTCTATTCTTCCTGATGAATACCATTCCCATTGGTGTGAGGTGATATGTCACAGACATTTTGATTTACATTTCTCTGATAAGTAATGAAGAGCCCCTTTTTATACTTACTTTCCATTTGTAGGACTTATTCGAGGAAATGTCCATTTAGTGCTTCTCCTTGTTTTTGGTATTTTTGCTGTTAAGTTTTGAGAGTGATTCATAGAATTTTGGATATTAGTCTCTTTATTGGATGAGTGAATATTTTCTCCCAGACTATAAGGGTAAGCTTTAACTTCAACATTTTATATTTAAATGACAGAAACATCATAAATACTTCCTAAAGCACTGGTGGTATGGTCATGTTGATCCCCAGAATCACCAGACTAAGTAACATCACGTCACCCAGCCCATAGATTGAAATATTGGGTTTATCCCACCAGTACAAGTGTCACTGGCTCTGAAACTTGAGCATTACTGAGGAGGACCCCCAAAATGTACTACCCTACTTCCTTTCTATATCAAGGCATAATTGTATATGTAATATCAAAATAATATAAAGTCAATACTTTGTTTATCTAAGTCTTTCAGTTTTTATTAAAAAGATAACTGATAAAGTACAAAAATCATTCATGTAAAAGCTAGCTAGTTACATCCCAAGATAAATATATTTTTAAAATAAATACCATATGGTTCAACAAATAAAACGCTATCCTAAGCCTACTCTCTTCTCTTATTATTTTCCATCATTTTCCCTCTCTTCATAAAGATATGAAATGATTCTCCTGGTTTCCATTTGAAGAACATTAAAGCATGAATTCAAAGAGGTGAATGTACCTCTGCAAACATTGCAGCATTATTTACAATAACCAGGAGTTGGGAGCAACGTTTATACCTTTGCATGGATAAATGAATAGACATGTGGTATGTATGTAGCACTGTAGCGCTGTTCTCCCTCTGTTCACCGATTTGTTTGAGCAGGCACCAGTAACATCTCCACTGTGAGATGTGGTTACTGTTTTTGGCATATTGAATATGCCACAGGGAGCTTGCCAGACTCTGCCGAGTGGGCAGGATACTCTCGGTAGCTTGCTGGGCTCTCCGAGAGGGATGGAGGAATCAAACCTGGGTCGGCCACATGCAAGGCAAACGCCCTATCTGCCTTGCTGTTGCTCCAGCCCATGGTATACTACTAAGCTATAAAATGATGAAATAATGCTATTTACAACAATAAAAATGAATTTGATGAAATTAAGTGAAATTAATCAGAGGAAAAAAGACAAAACATGCCATAATCTTGTGCAGAAGCTAAAGAAACAAAAACCAACCAAATCAACCAAAGTCTTAGAGTTTGGTGGTTATATGAGTAATTGCATGTTACATTTAGAAGTTATATGATGGCAGTAAATTTCCATTACTCATTTAAAAAAAACTTAAGCTTTTAGAAGGAAATTAAACATCTCTTTGGAGTCTCAAGGTACCTGATAGTAGAAAACACTTCTCTCTTCAGGAGCAATAGATGGCAACTATTTCCATATTCTAAAATGTGGGGTCACCTTGCTGAGGGTAGTAGTTCTCTGCTTTGAGTCCCGCTGCTTTCTGCACAAATCTAGTGCCAATGTCTCTTGGATCACATGTGAACTCAACATACAGACCCAAATGAAAAAGGCAGCCTGGAGGTTGTTTTCCACCAGACCTAAGAGAACAGCCGGAGGAACCAAGGCAACCCCAACAGAACTGTGGACAGTGGAAAGTCATTGAAGGCCCAGAAGAGACCCTGACACTGATTCCTGTTGGGGCCAGCTGAAGGAAGTGAGTGGAGCAAAATCAGCCACGTTCTCTGTCTCAACAGTCCATTCTTTTTAGAAATTTTTTTAAATTGAATCTCTGTGAGGTAGGGCATTACAAAATTGTTCATGATTGCATTTCAGTCATACAATGTTCCAACACTCATCCCTCCACCAGTGTTAATTTCCCATCTCCAGTGTCCCCAGTTTCCTTTCCACCTTTTCAAGCTACCCCATCCCAGCCTGCCTCTAGGGCAAGCACCTCTCCTCCCTGCATCCTTCTTCCCTCCCTCACCACCTCCTCATTTTAGGCATTGTGGTTTGTGATACAGATGCTGAAACACTATCATGTATGTACTGCTTTCAAGACTTAGTTCTTATCCAGTGTGATCATTTCCAACTAGTATTGTCATAATGGATCCTCTAATAACCCTCCATCTCCTACACCATTGACCATGCATTCCTTCTGGCCCTAATCAGTGCATTCTTTAGTCTGCACTAATCCTTCCCACTGGAAGTAAGAAAAGACCAAGTGTGGACTTTTTGCTAATAAGAGACATATTGAGGGTGGGCAAGAAGGACAGTCAATCAAACTACTAACTCACAACTTTTATTAAATTCTTAAACATGTTCCACTGAAACAAGTTTTTTTTTTTGTTTTGTTTCGTGATCGCTATCAGAGACTTCTCATTATAACACAGCCTCAGACCAAAATTTGCTTTAAATTTTTTTAAAAATCAAAAGACTTTAAAGGAGTCAATCCAATTAATCCTTGAAACACACTAAGTTATAAAAGCCTCAATAAGAACCCAACTGCACCAAGATTTTTTTTCAAGAAGTTATCTTCTATTATTAAAAAAAAATAATTATGTGCTCATGTGCTTAAGAGGAATGAAACAGGGATATTGGCTTTGGTGCTTGAATTCTGAAGTTTAGCTCAACGTTTTTTGGTATTTCTAGGTCACACTCAACATTAGAATTGTTCTTTTTCCCTCCTTCATGGGAGCAGCCATGCCAAAGAGTTCTGTGGTAATTTTTCACATTTTATTCCTTGGAAGTTTATTCCCTATATATAGATATGTTTGTCATTGCAAAATGTAGCAATTTTTCAGATTTGCACACTATAATCGCTTACCTGCCCGTCACATTACAAACTTCTTATTGGTTAAAACAAATCCTGTCCCTAATTGCCTTTCTGCCCGCTGAGTTCATTTCCCAGAGCCTCAGAGAGACTCAGCCGGAGTGAGACCCAGAGGTCCTCAACCCCTGCCTTTGTGCCAGGACCTGCAAACTTCCTGAGCCAATCAGTAAGCGCCTTTAAAACCCCCCTCCAATCAGGGACGGCTCACGACTTCTTTTTTGTGAGCTGTCCCATCTGAGCAACTCTACACACACACACACACACACACACACACACACACACACACACACACACACACCACACTATAAATGTCTTTCCCTATCTCGCTGCACTCCTATCTCCCTGCTCTGCTCTTGCCCTCTTTCTTGTTAACCCTTTCTTCCCCTCTTATGAACTTTGTGGGCCTTCTCAGAAGTGGAGGGAGAAAAAAGCTCCTTTGTAGATGGTCAAGAAGGAGAGGTGAGTTGGAGCCCCCAGAAGTCCGATGCTCTGATCCCGACTTGTGGGTAGAGGGGCGACGACATTCCTCTCATCAGGTATTTATTCAGCCACTCTTAAGCAAACACTCAGTCCATGAAGTCCCGGAGACCGATGGATATTTCTGCGTCTATTTCTAAACAGGACACTAGAGGGCTCCCAGGGGTTAAAAATAAGCAGGAAAATGATTTGAATGAAAACTGCTGCCTTACCGGCATTGTTTCTTCAGCATTTTCAAAATAAAGTTTATTTTTTTAACTATTAAAAAAATAGAACCTTGCCTATCCTAAAACTGGCTTAGCAGTCAGTCGTTTACAAGTAACTATTGTGCGTTGCAATCAGGAGGTTTCAAGGGAGCTTTTACAAACTCAGTTGAAATATTTGAAATGTGGAACACCCTTGAGCATGAAATATGTTCTACTTACATGCCTCAGCCTTTAAAAGTTCTTTGCATTAGAGTCAGGGATTACATTCTTCCTGGAGCCGAGCATGGGGCCAGCTGAGTGAGTAAGCTTGCTTTCGAACTCTTCTGTTTTTCTTCTTAATCATATGGAATTTTTTTTTTAAAAATCAAGTTACAGATCCTTTTGTTTCTTTCAGCTGACTTTGGTGGAAAGAAAAGGAATGAAAAGCAATTGCATCTGTAATTTGTGTGTGTGTTTGTGTGTATGTGTGTGTGTGTTCCTATAACTGCTTCTAGGATATATGCACATTATGGTTTCATAGTCTGGCAATTCTTAGTACAAACTAATGGAACATATTATGAAGCAAAAATTGTACCATCTGATTAAGAGAATATGCTTCTAAATTTGAATATCATTACTCTGAATTAACTTGAATGTTAAAACTTCTGCTCAATTAGTTCATACAGGAAATTAAAAAATATACAATAGCTGTACTTTAAAAAATTGTTATATATCTTCAACCATTTCTGCATTTCATATAGATAAAAAAACCTCGATTTGCACCGTTTTAATGCTTTTCCTTCCGAATCAGATGGCTTGACTTAACAAGTTGTATTCTTGAATATTGTGGCTTGTTTTCTCTAATGTAAAGAGAACATCAAATCTGTGCATTTATCTTTTGTCTATTTTTTTTCTTCTTAAAACTCAGAACAATTCAGTGTCCATGTGTATGAAAGGAAAGGGTTACTTTTTATTTCCCCCCTTTTGTACTTAGAGGAACTGAAGTAGTTTGTAGATTGTGACTCAGTTTCATTCTGTTTCCATTCATTCGCAGAAACCAGCCACACTTCTTTCGGGAGAGGCTGGCAGCAGTTTAAAGCGTTTGTCTGGGAACTGTGTCGGCAGCATCCACTCCATTCCCAACCTTCATTCCTACCTCCACCCGTTGTGGACCGACACCTAAGCGAAGGCGACAGTCGGGGGATTCAGGAAGCCATGCATCATGTCAGCTGGAGCCTACAGCCGACTCTAAACTCAGTTCAACATGTGGATGCGGCCGAGAGATGACCTGTCCAGACAAGCCAGGGCAACTCATTAACTGGTTCATCTGCTCCCTGTGTGTCCCGCGGGCGCGCAAACTCTGGAGTAGCAGGCGTCCAAGAACCCGGAGGAACCTTTTGCTGGGCACTGCTTGTGCCATCTACCTGGGCTTCCTGGTGAGCCAGGTGGGGCGCTCCTCTCTCCAGCACCGACGGGCAGCAGAAAAGGGGCTGCCCAAGCTCAGCGACCCCAACGCTGAGCCCCCCTTCCCAGAGATCCCCTTAGACGGGACCCTTGCCCCTCCCGAGTCGCAGGGCAATGAGTCCACGCTGCAGCCCAACGTGGTGTACATTACCCTACGCTCCAAGCGCCGCAAGCCCTCCAACATCCGGGGCACGGTGAGACCCAAGCGCAGGAAGAAGTATGCAGTGGGGTCTCCGGTCCCTGGACAGGGGTTGCTGGACCCTTCTCTCCCGCTGCAGGAAGCTCTGGGAGTCGCTGAGGCCGAAAGGCGTGGGTACGTCCAGGGAGGAAACCCGGCCAAGCTTGGAGAACCACCCTGGAGGTTGCTCCGGGGTCCTGGAGGGCCGGGTGGGGCCTCAAATCTGCACCCTGCCAAGGTCAAGGAGAGCAACATCAGGATCTACAGCGAGAGCGCCCCCGCGTGGCTGAGCAAAGAAGACCTCCGCAGGATGCGCCTTTTGGCCGACGGGGCGGTCACAGGGTTCCAGGCAGTGTCCTCCAAGAGTGGAGTGATCTTGCTGGTGCTGGAGCCCAGCGCTGCTGGCCCCGGGCCCGCCTGTGGTCCTAGTAGCCCCTGCGGACTGCTCAAGCAGCCTTTGGACTTGAGTGAGGTGTTTGCCTTCCACCTGGACAGGATCCTGGGCCTCAACCGCACGCTGCCTTCCGTGAGCCGGAAATCAGAGTTCATCCAAGGTAACGGGCGTCCCAGGCTTTGTTACTTGCAGCTGTTGGGAACTGGGGTGGATTTTCTTCTTTCTCCTGCTCCGTCTTTACGAAGTCGTTTTCTCCACCCACGGCTCCCATTTGGCCAGCGTCAGCGTGTCTTTCCAGACGCTTGGCATTCTTGACTTTCCCAGCCTTGGGAGGGCACGAGCGTCCCAGGAGATGCCCGGGGTTCCACATGCAAAAAGTAAGGCCACACCGTGTAATCTTTGCTCTCCACTTCCCTCGCTGCACTTCCAATGGCTTATTAAATCTAATTAAAGCCAATGGCAATTTGCATGATGTGGAGAGGAAGCCCGGTGGAAGAAAGGAGCTTGCTGACAGTCAAGCATATTATTAGATAGGTTACTGTGGAAGCGAGAAGTTTGTTTGTTGGAAAATTTCAGAAGTTAAAGGGAAGTGGCTTATTTTTTCTTCCATGGATGGAATCTTTTTGAGGCACGAGTCAGACCATTAGATTCCACCCCATGAGCATAGGTGGTTTTTATTTATTTATTTATTTAAATTTTATTTACAGTGGCTTTCTTTCCTTCACTTTGCAAAGAAATTGAGGCAAAGCTAAGGAGATTCTTTTCAGTTCCCCCAATTGGCTGCGTGATTTCTTCCAATCCATAGCTGGTTTATAGAACCTGGTTTCCAAGATCTCTCAGATGCTACTTTTGGGCAGGGTTTAGGGTATGAGGTCAATCATTTGAGTGGAAGCGCTGGTCTTGCCATATATAGACACTTTCTGCTTCTCGATGCTACTCTAGGATTTAAATACAAAGCGAAGGGAGGTCACTAGTTTGGGTTTAAATACAGAATGTTCTGAGAAGTTGCTTTTGTAGATTCAGGTTGTCTCCACAGGTCAACAGAACCCCAGAGAAATAAATGATCAATGCGAGGCTTATTCCCTCACACCCAAAAGGCTAGTATTTTATGCAGTTATCACTGAATCTGTATTAAAATGGAATAAAAACTCTTGGCTGAGAATCAGTTGCATTTCCAAAGACTTTAGTATTCAAATGTCGTCTTAGACGTGGGTGATTCTGGATGTAACTGTGATTTGCTTACAGAGACTTTCTTGACTTACCCTGGTGCATGCCTGAGTGCTTCAGATTCCCAGCTATGATTTGATGTCTCAGACTCACAAAGCAGTGTACCTTGATTATGCTGCTGTGAGAAAATCTCTCAAACTTTTTGCTGGCAAAATCTAATTTTTATGGGGTGCTTACGATTTACTAAGGATTGTACTAATTACTTCATATATTCATATCTGCATTGACTCCTATGGATCATATATTGATGTCAAGAAATCAGTACTTTTGTACCTTTTAATGGATACAAAATAACAGGCTATTTAAGCAAAGGAATTGGCCTCAACTCTCAGACTAGTAGCCAAACCAGGTTTCAAATCTAGGTGAAGCCAATTGGGACAATTGGTTTTTAGCATCTTTGCATCTTTTATGTTTGGTTTTTGGGCCACACCCAGGGGTGTTCATGACTTACTCCTGGCCCCACAGGAATGCTCAGGGGTCACTCCTGGTGGGGCTCAGGGGACTACATAGGGTGCCAGGTATCAACCGGGGTTGGATGTGTGCAAGGAGAGTTTCCTACCAGCTGTACTATCTCTCAAGCTCTTTAACTCTCAAAACTGAGACATAGATAAAGAAGATATCAATGACCATTGAGACAACAGTTACACAATGAAGCTGTACTGAGCGGAGAGAGGCATAGGCCGAACATTGTGATGCAGAATTCAGGTCTTAATTGCTTCTGAGAAGAGAACTTAAATACATTCTGAGGTTTGAGACTCTAATATGTCCATTGGATTTTACTAGGATAATCCTGATTGCTGTTGGAAAAATAAAGCAGTGACTTGGAACCTAGTTTTGGAAGTGAAATACTTAGGTTTGAATTAACTAACCTTGTGACCTGGGAATGTTGTGGTATCTATGCTTGAGTTCCCTACCGCTAAAATGACAATATTACTCACCATATTAATTTGTAGCTAGTTAATACAGGGGGAAAAAACATAGACCTAGAGCTCTTCACAGAGAAAACACTATTTGTTTTTGTTGTTTACACTAAGCACCTGATGTACCATTTAACTGAGTTACTCACTTAGTTTCCAAGCCTGAGAATCATTCCTTTCTCTGAGAGAACTCTAGCTAAAACCAGCTCTTTCGACAGCTTAGTTAAAATTTTTGGTAGCTGGACCCATAGAAGATGTTTTATTTTCTGACCACAATAGCCATCATCTTGGGAAATAAATGAAAGGACTGTACTTAACTTGAAAGACAATTTATATTCCTAGGATAGTCTTGTACTATTCAATTCTGAAATGTTCTTTTGGAAGTAAGTGATGACAGAAAGAAACCAAAAAAGTCATAGAGATAAGATGCCCAATATGGTGAATTAAATATTCATTGCAAAAATATCAGACTTTCCTTTCTTCTTCTACCTTCTCATATGAAACTAGTCATAAAACCAGATGAATGTTCTTAGGACTCAGAGATGATTTATAATATCCCTAAAAACATAACTCTACTCAAATAACCAATTATTCTGATGAAAAGTGAATAAACAATTTCTCATCATGGTCATTGTATGTACAAGAGAGAGAAATCTCTATCTTGTCTTTATGGAGAGAGAAACACAGGTGTTGTTATCTTGTTTGATTATTCTATTACTAATATTTTCCTGCTTGGAACATTTTCTTTCTTTGATTTCCATGGAAGTCTACCTTTTTTCCTGAGGGAACTTCTAATTTTCTTTTGGTCCAAACATCCACCTAAGGATGTGATCGATCTTATTTAATTTTATAGTAGCTATTTCTGGTTCATTCTCTATCATATTTTGGTATTATAATTGCTTGTTTAATGATCTGCACCTTCCCATTAGCCTCAAGGTTTATGAAAGCAGAAGTTTCCTCTAGTTCCTATTGTGTTTCTAAATCTTGGGGTAATCTGGCACCTGATAGGTGTTTTATATATATGTATATATGTATATATGTATATACATATAGATAAGGAAATGTAGGTATTATATTTAAACTGTCTCATAGATTCTAAACAATAGACTTATATTTGCTTCCAGTGCCCAATATTCAGGACAAATACTGTTGTTTTTAGTCCTACATCTAATCTTGGAAAATCTCATAGAAAACTTTTTGTGTAAGTAAATAAAAATTTTCTTAACAATTTTCTGTACCACGTACATGATAATGCTTATAGGACTTATGCTTGTGGGGACCATCAAATTGTCTGTTAGCCTGATGCTATCATGAGATTTGGTAACCAATTCTTTGTAGGAACAACAGAATTTAGTTTAGGTACATATTTATCTGGAAGTCTTGTTTGTTCAGCTCCTTCCTTCCTTCCTTCCTTCCTTCCTTCCTTCCTTCCTTCCTTCCTTCCCTCCCTCCCTCCCTTCTTCCCTCCCTCTCTTCCTTTCTTCCTCCCTTTCTTCCTCCCTCCCTCCCTTCCTTCCCCCCTTCTTCCCTTCCTTTCTTCCTCCTTTCTCTCCATCCCCCTTCCTTCCTTCCTTCCTTCCTTCCTTCCTTCCTTCCTTCCTTCCTTTCTTTTTCTTTCTTTCTCTCTTTCTTTCTCTCATTTTCTCTTTCTCTCTTCTTTCTTTTTTTTTGAATGAGAAAATAGCTAGACTCTTCACAATTATAAGAGTAATGTGAATGTTATTATATACCAGACACAATTTTAAATACTACATATATATAACCTCATTAAATACTCATAAATTTTTGTGAGGTGGGTACCCTGTGGAAACATTTTATGGATATGCAAGCAGAGATCCAAAGTAATTAGGTAACTTGCTCAGTTTTATAAATGCCTGGGTGTAAAAAGGATACATGAAAACAAAAGCAGATGTAATACAGGATCAGATGATATGATTCAAATGATCCAGCCAACCAGAAGAAACTTCATGTTGATTCCATCCAAAGACAAATGTCCTAGTTATAAAGCTTATCTATGGGTTATTTGTTTATTTTTAATTAGTATAACTGATGGAGCTGATCCTATCAGCATAGAACCTCTAGTTCAGACTTCAGTCTGGAAGTGATCTGGGATAAATTGTAGGTGATTAGCCTAGAATATAAATTCATATGTGTTTGTGTGTGTGTGTGTGTGTGTGTGTGTGTGTGTGTGTGTGTAATCAAGGGATTAACTGGTTTCATACTATATGCTAGGTCATTTTCTGGCAATCATTTCTCCAAAACTAACCCAGTACTGGAAAGGTCTACCTGGAGAAAAGTTAGGCTGTGATTAGGTGTGTATGTGGTGGTGGGGAGGGCATACATAGGGGAAACTCAGGATCCTTGTATTTAAAGTATCATTTCTTTCTGTTCTGTAGAATTTTGAGTGACACTGCAGATAAATAACCACAAGTGTGGCCTAGAAACTCTGATATACCACACTAGATTCATTTTTCTGAGAGGTGGGGTTAGATTGGGCACACTCTGGTACTCGAGGCTTACTCCTGATTGTGTACTCAGCCATCACTCTTGGTGGTGGGAAATGCAAAAGCAGTTGAAATATAATATCAATGAAGTTTTCACTCATTTTTGCAGTAATTATAACTTTGGTTGTGGGTTGTATAAAGAAATTAGTGATGGGCGGGAGAGGCGGCACAGGGGTAAGGCACTTTCCTTACACACACAGCCAAACCCAGTCCAATCCCCCCAGAACTTCTTATGGCACCCCAAGCACTACCAAGAGTGACGGCTGAGTAGTACACAATCAGGAGTGAGCTTCAAGTACCAGAGTGTGCCCGATATAACCCCACCTCTCAAAAAAAATGAATCTAGTGTGGTATATTAGAGTGTCTATGCCAAACTTGTGGTTATTTATCTGCAGTGTCACTCAAAATTCTACAGAACAGAAAGTAATGATACTTTACACACAAGGATCCTGAGTTTCATTGAGGTTATAAAATTGGCCCTTGGACATACAACTAGTTAGCAGGAGAACTGG